CTACTACACTATACACTACACTATACACTACTACACTATACACTACTACACTATACACTACTACACTATACACTACTACACTATACACTACACTATACACTACACTATACACTACACTACTACACTATACACTACACTATACACTACACTATACACTACTACACTATACACTACTACACTATACTATACACTACTACACTACTACACTATACACTACTACACTACACTATACACTACTATACTACACTATACACTACACTATACACTACACTATACACTACACTATACACTACACTATACACTACACTATACACTACACTATACACTACTATACACTACACTATACACTACACTATTACACTACACTATACACTACACTATACACTACTATACACTACACTATACACTATACTATTCACTACACTATACACTACACTATACACTACTATACACTACACTATACACTACACTATACACTACTATACACTACACTATTCACTACACTATACACTACACTATACACTACACTATACACTACTACACTATACACTACTACACTATACTATACACTACAAACACTATACACTACTACACTACACTATACACTACTACACTACACTATACACTACACTATACACTACACTACACTATAAACTACACTATACACTACTACAATATACACTACACTATACACTACACTACACACTACGCTATACACTACTACACTATACACTACACTATAAACTACACTATACACTACTACACTACACTATACACTACACTATACACTACTACACTATACACTACACTATACACTACTACACTATACACTACTACACTATAAACTACTACACTATACACTACTACACTATACACTACACTATACACTACACTATACACTACACTACTACACTATACACTACACTATACACTACACTATACACTACTACACTATACACTACTACACTATACACTACACTATACACTACAATATAAACTACTACACTATACACTACTACACTATACACTACACTATAAACTACACTACTACACTATACACTACACTATACACTACACTATACACTACTACACTATACACTACACTATACACTACACTATACACTACACTATACACTACTACACTATACACTACTACACTATACACTACTACACTATACACTACTACACTATACACTACTACACAACACTATAACACTACTACACTATACTATACCTACTACACTATACACTACTACACTACACTCTACACTACACTACACACTACACTACACACTACACTATACACTACACTATACACTACTACACTATACACTACACACTACACTACACACTACACTATACACTACACTATACACTACACTATACACTACACTACACTATACACTACACTATACACTACACTACACTATACACTACACTATACACTACACTACACACTACACTATACACTACACTATACACTACACTATACACTACACTATACACTACTACACTATACACTACAACACTACACTACACACTACACTATACACTACACTATACACTACACTATACACTACACTACACTATACACTACACTATACACTACACTACACTATACACTACACTATACACTACACTACACACTACACTATACACTACACTATACACTACTACACTATACACTACACTACACTATACACTACCCTATCCCTATACACGAACTACACCTACACTATACACTACCTAGCACTACTAACATATACACTAACACACTATACCTACACTATACACTACACTACACACTACACAACACGACACTATACACTACCACTATACACTACACTACTAGCCTACAACTACACTACACTATACACTGTGTCTGGGCCCCCGACCTCCCCCATGTCCCATGAAGACGAACGTTTTGTTCGATTCGGCGGGAGCGATTGGAGTCGACGCTAAGTCGGCGAACAATCCACATCCAAGTAGCATCGTTGGTAATCGCAACAAAACGAGGTACAGACCGCCTCAACCCTGTGTGTGTGTCGGTGTGTGGGTGTCCTGTGTGTGTGTCTGTGTGTTTGTGTCTGGTGTGTGTGGCACTGTGTGTTTGTCTGTGTGTTGTGTCTGTGTTGTGTCCTGTGTTGTGTGCCTGGTGGTGTGTCTGGTGTGTGTGTGTCGGTGTGGTGTCCTGTGTGTTCTGTGTGTTGTGTCTGTGTGTGTGTCTTGTGTGTCTGTGTGTGTCTGTGTGTGTGTCTGTGTGTGTGTGTCTGTGTGTGTGTCTGTGTGTGTGTCTGTGTGTGTTGTGTGTCTGTGTGTGTCTGTGTGTGTGTGTGTCTGTGTGTGTGTCTGTGTGTGTGTCTGTGTGTGTGTGTGTCTGTGTGTGTGTGTGTGTCTGTGTGTGTGTGTCTGTGTGTGTCTGTGTGTGTGTGTCTGTGTGTGTGTGTCTGTGTGTGTGTGTGTCTGTGTGTGTGTGTCTGTGTGTGTCTGTGTGTGTGTGTCTGTGTGTGTGTGTCTGTGTGTGTGTGTCTGTGTGTGTGTCTGTGTGTGTCTGTGTGTGTGTGTCTGTGTGTGTGTCTTTGTGTGTGTGTATGCATCTGTGTCTGTGTGTGCGTCTGTGTGTGCGTCTGTGTGTGTGTGTCTGTGTGTGTGTCTGTGTGTGTGTGTGTCTGTGCGTCTTTGCGTGTCTGTCAAATGGGGTTTGGCCAGGAGACGTCATAGAAGCCTGTCCCCCCGGGGCCTCCGGCACGAGCATGTTACTGAGATATTTGCGACGTGGTTAGTGGTAATGTATTGAAGGTGGAGGGGTTACCAGCCCCTCGCACCCGTCCAGAGCCCCCATTTGGCCGCTGTGGTGGCTACAAATGCCCTGCGGGGCAAGGCCAATCGGAATTGGCCCTCCCCCCACGGCACTGTCCACGACAGCGTTGTCCGTCCGGCCCCACGAGGAGGTAGGAGGTTGTTTTGCCACTCCGATGGTCAGGTGGTTGCATCTCACTCAGAGGAGGGAGTTTGAAGCGCTGCTGCTAAAACTGGAGCGTGCCACTAAGAGGTGGGGCCTTACTATCAGCCCCACCAAAACGAAGCACCTGCCTGGGTAGTTTGTACCATCGGACAGTCCACCCCCACAACTCCCAATCGGTGATGGGGCAGTTGTGGAGAGAGTGGAGAGTTTCCCATACCTGGGCAGTGTGCTCATGACCGGCTCCGGTTTAACAGCAGAGGTCTCACTCCGAATCAGTCGAGTGGCATTATCTTTTCATCGATTGCGTAACGCTGTGTGGAAGCTACATGGTCGGTCGCTCCGCACGAAGCTTCAGGTCTTCTCGGCCACGGTCATTCCCTCCCTTCTCTACGCTTGCGAAACGTGGACCCCCCTAATGGAACATCTTAGCCGGTTAGAAACATTTAGGCTGGCCTGCCTACGATCCATCCTGGGTTTAACCAGCAGGTTGAATTGTGTGAGGAGCTCACAAATCCTTGAAAGATGTGGACAAAGTCCTATCAGTGAGCTCCTCCGGCAGGCAAGGCTGCGTTGACTGGGTCAAGTAGCCCGCATGCCCAGCCACCACATGCCTAAACAGCTTTTGTTCGGCCGGATCGAGGGGGCTAAACGGGCGCGGCACGGGCTAGAGAAGAGATGGAGTGATGTGGTACAGGAGGACGTGGAGCTGAGTGGACTTGCCGATGACTGGTACCAGCGGTGTCAAGATCGGCCTCTGTGGAGGAGGCTCGTGAAGGACGCTACTGGGCAGTTGGAGGCAGTCGCCCTCCAGCAACAACGGAGGGCGGAGGAGCGACGCTCACAACAACGAGCGGAGCGCCGGGTGGCTAAAACACAGAAAGTTGGTACAGTAGGGGGCACAGGTGGTGCATCAGCCAGTCATCATGGTCATCTCGGTCAGTCGACCCGTGGCACCTGCTGGGTCTGCCCCGTGACCTGCCAGCGGGCGTTCGACACTTCACGTGGCCTCAAGGTGCACATAGCCTGGCACAAGCGTCGTGGTGACGTCACCGCCACTGGCTAATGGCGGTTGTTGTTGTGTGAATCCCAAGTTCGATTCCCGCTCACAGCCATCAACACCATCAGTGACAGCGATTATCTGAATCGGTACTGGGCGTCCCCTAGGTCGACTCAGCCTCAAATATATACCTGGTGCGGTGTGTAGTCAACATCCCTGGCACTGGGGAGACAAAGGCGGCCGGGCGTGGTGCTGGCCACCCACCCCCTCGTGTGCCATTCCGGCCTTCATAGGCACTGCTACTCGCGAACAGCACTTGCCCCTACAGTCTGTTACAGGCTACACGGGGGACCTGTGTCTTTATATATACGCACATACGTACCGCTGGTGACGATGGTCAAGATGGTGGTGACGACGACGATGATGATGACGGTGGTGATGGTGGTGGTGATGGTGATGATGGTGGTGGTGATGATGATGGTGATGGTGGTGATTGTGGTGGTGATGATGATGGTGGTGGTGATGATGATGGTGGTGGTGATGATGGTGGTGGTGATGATGGTGATGGTGGTGATGGTGATGGTGGTGATGGTGATGGTGGTGATGATGGTTGTGATGATGATGATAATGGTGGTGATGGTGATGATGATGGTGGTGATGATGGTGGTAATGATGACGATAATGGTGGTGATGATGATGGTGGTGGTGATGATGACGATAATGGTGGTGATGGTGGTGATGATGACGATAATGGTGGTGATGGTGGTGGTGATGATGGTGGTGATGACGACGATGATGATGGTGGTGATGATGACGACGATGCTAATGGTGGTGATGATGACGATAATGGTGGTGATGATGGTGATGATGATGGTGATGATGACGATGATAATGGTGGTGATGGTGGTGATGATGACGATGATGGTGATGACGATGATGGTGATGACGATGATGGTGGGGATGGTGATGGTGGGGATGGTGATGATGGTGGTGGTGATGATAACGGTGGTGATGCTGGTGGTGGTTTTGATGTTTTTCAGGATTTTCTGCTGGAGGATCCCGTGTACCAGCTCAGTGTCGAGGAGACACGGAGACTCTCCACACACAGATACTCGGCCTGGCTGGACCAGACGCCAACACAGTAATCATCACTCGCATTGTCATCGCCATCATCGTCACCGTCATCGCCATCATTATCATCATCGTCACACACACACACACTCACACACTCACACACTCACACACAGATACTCGGCCTGCCTGGACCAGACGCCAACACAGTAATCATCACTCGCATTCTCACCACCATCATCGTCGTCATCACCGTCATCGTCATCGCCATCATTATCATCATCGTCACACACACTCACATACTCACACACTCACACACTCACACACTCACATACTCACATACTCACACACTCACACACTCACACACTCACATACTCACACACTCACACACTCACACACAGTCTCACACACTCACACACTCACATACTCACACACTCACATACTCACACACTCACACACTCACTCACACACTCACACACTCACACACTCACACACACACTCACACACTCACACACTCACTCACTCACACACTCACACACTCACACACTCACACACTCACACTCACACACTCACACACTCACACACTCACACACTCACACACTCACACACTCACACACTCACTCACTCACACACTCACACACTCACACACTCACACACTCACTTACTCACTCACACACTCACACACTCACACACTCACACACTCACACACACACTCACACACTCACACACACACACACTCACACACTCACACACTCACTCACACACTCACACACTCACACACTCACACACTCACACTCACACACACATACTCACACACTCACACACTCACACACTCACACACACACTCACACACTCACACACTCACATACTCACACACACTCACTCATACTCACACACACTCACACACAAACACCTACACACACTCACATACACACTCACTCAGACACTCACACACAAACACCTACACACACTCACACACTCACTCACACACTCACTCACACCACTCACACACAAACACCTACACACACTCACACACTCACACACTCACACACACAATTACACTCACACACTCATACACTCATACTCACACATTCACACACTCACACACTCACATACTCACACACACTCACACACAACACCTACACACACTCACACACTCACACACTCACACACTCACACACACTCACACACTCATACTCACACACACTCACACACTCACACACAAACACCTACACACACTCACACACTCACACACACTCACTCACTCACACACAAATACCTACACACACTCACACACTCACACACTCATACTCACACACACTCACACACTCACACACAAACACCTACACACACTCACACACTCACACACTCACACACACTCACACACTCATACTCACACACACTCACACACTCACACACAAACACCTACACACACTCACACACACTCACTCACTCACACACAAACACCTACACACACTCACACACTCACACACTCACACACTCATACTCACACACACTCACACACTCACACACAAACACCTACACACACTCACACACTCACACACTCATACTCACACACACTCACACACTCACTCACACACACAAACACCTACACACACTCACACACTCACACACTCACACACACAAACACCTACTCACACCCCCCCCCCCCTCTCTCTTGCCCCCAGCTGCATCATCTGCCTGGAGGTGCTTGTGGAGGGAACAGAGATGTGCACATTGCCCTGCACGCACGCACACTTCCACGCAGCCTGCATCCACACCTGGCTACAGGTGATGACCACCAGCTCGTGCTGATGATGATGATGATGTGGTTCTCTCTGTCTCTCTCTGTGTCTCTCTCTCTCTCTGTGTCTCTCTGTCTCTCTCTCTGTCTGTGTCTCTCTCTCTGTCTGTGTCTCTCTGTCTCTCTCTCTGTCTGTGTCTCTCTGTCTATGTGTGTCTCTCTGTCTGTGTGTGACTGTGTGTGTCTGTGTGTGTCTCTCTGTCTCTCTCTGTCTCTCTCTGTCTGTGTCTCTCTGTCTCTCTGTGTCTCTCTGTCTCTCTGTCTCTCTCTGTGTCTCTCTGTCTCTCTCTCTGTCTGTGTCTCTCTCTCTCTCTGTCTGTGTCTCTATGTCTCTCTGTCTGCCTCTCTCTGTCTCTGTGTGTCTCTCTGTCTCTGTGTGTGTCTGTGTGTGACTGTGTGTGTGTCTGTGTGTGTCTCTCTGTCTCTCTCTGTCTCTCTGTCTCTCTCTCTCTGTCTGTGTCTCTGTGTTTGTCTCTGTCTCTCTGTCTGCCTCTCTCTGTCTCTGTGTGTCTCTCTCAGTCTCTGTGTGTCTGTGTGTGTGTCTCTGTGTGTCTCTCTCTGTCTCTCTCTGTCTATCTCTGTGTGTGTGTCTGTGTGTGTGACTGTGTGTGTGTGTTTCTGTGTGTGTCTGTGTGTGTGTCTGTGTGTGTGACTGTGTGTGTCTGTGTGTGTGTGTGTGACTGTGTGTGTCTGTGTGTGTGTGTGACTGTGTGTGTCTGTGTGTGTGTCTGTGTGTGTGTGTGTGTCTGTGTGTGTGTCTGTGTGTGTGTCTGTGTGTCTGTGTGTGTGACTGTGTCTGTGTGTGTGTGTGTGTCTGTGTGTGTGTCTGTGTGTGACTGTGTGTGTCTGTGTGTCTGTGTGTGTGTGTGTCTTAGGAGAGCGGCACGTGTCCGGTGTGCCGTGCCCTCGTCGTCTTACACTGAGGAGGAAGCTGCAGCTCCAACCTTCAAGTCTCCCTCACCACCCAGAGTCTCACCACCCAGTGTCTCTGTGTCTCACTACCCAGTGGCTCAGTGTCTCAGTGTCTGTGTTAGACCACCAGTGTCTCACTACCCAGTGTCTCAGTGTCTCCCTACCCAGTGTCTCACTACCCAGTGTCTCACTACCCAGTGTCTCACTACCCAGTGTCTCACTACCCAGTGTCTCACTACCCAGTGTCTCAGTGTCTCAGTGTCTCACTACCCAGTGTCTCACCATCCAGTGTCTCAGTGTCTCACTACCCAGTGTTTCACTAGCAGTGTCTCACCACCCAGTGTCTCACCACCCAGTGTCTCACTACCCAGTGTCTCAGTGTCTCAGTGTCTCACTACCCAGTGTCTCACCATCCATTGTCTCAGTGTCTCAGTGTCTCACTACCCAGTGTTTCACTAGCAGTGTCTCACTACCCAGTGTCTCACCACCCAGTGTCTCACCACCCAGTGTCTCACTACCCAGTGTCTCACTACCCAGTGTCTCACTACCCAGTGTCTCAGTGTCTCTGTGTCTCAGTGTTAGACCACCAGTGTCTCACTACCCAGTGTCTCTGTGCTCAGTGTCTCACTACCCAGTGTCTCACTACCCAGTGTCTCACTACCCAGTGTCTCTCTACCCAGTGTCTCAGTGTCTCAGTGTCTCAGTGTCTCAGACCACCGTCTCAAAGGCGACCAGCGCAAGGGCAATGCCACAGCATCACGGCTGGCTCAGTGTGAGCAGCAGATGAACTGTGGGGGTGGGTGGTTTACGAGAATTCTAGTAACAATAATGATGGTGGTGGTGGTGACGATGATGACGATGATGGTGACGACGATGATGATGGTGGTGACGATGACGGTGGTGACGATGATGATGGTGATGATGATGGTGTTGGTGACGATGATGATGGTGTTGGTGATGATGGTGATGATGATGGTGGTGATGATGATGGTGGTGACGATGATGGTGGCGATGATGATGGTGATGATGATGGTGTTGGTGACGATGATGATGGTGTTGGTGATGATGGTGATGATGATGGTGGTGACAATGATGATGATGGTGACGATGATGATGGTGACGATGATGATGATGGTGTTGGTGACGATGATGATGATGTTGGTGTTGGTGACGATGATGATGGTGGTGACGATGATGATGATGATGATGGTGTTGGTGACGATGATGATGGTGGTGACGATGATGATGATGGTGGTGATGATGATGGTGGTGACGATGATGGTGATGGTGGTGATGATGATGGTGGTGACGATGATGATGATGATGGTGGTGACGATGATGGTGATGGTGATGATGATGATGGTGTTGGTGACGATGATGATGATGATGGTGGTGATGATGGTGGTGATGATGGTGGTGACGATGATGATGGTGGTGTTGATGTTTGTTAGCCCCTGCCTCTGGTGAGACAGGCTGCTTCAAACACAAAACAAGAAAGTAGTACATAGTGTAGTACATAGTGTAGTGTGTAGTGTAGTGTAGTGTGTAGTAGTATAGTGTATAGTGTCATGTAGTGTAGTATATAGTAGTGTAGTGTATAGTGTCATGTAGTGTAGTGTATAGTGTAGTTTATAGTGTATAGTGTCATGTAGTGTAGTATATAGTGGTGTATAGTAGTGTAGTGTATAGTGTCATGCAGTGTAGTATATAGTGTAGTTTATAGTGTAGTGTATAGTGTCATGTAGTGTGGTGTATAGTGTAGTGTAGTGTGGTGTATAGTGTAGTTTATAGTGTATAGTGTCATGTAGTGTGGTGTATAGTTTATAGTGTAGTGTATAGTGTAGTGTATAGTGTAGTGTATAGTGTATATTGTGTTTCAAAATGATGGACCCAATTTCAAATCAGTCTTGCCAATGACTGAGCCCCGGGGCTGTTTGTGCGCTGGGAGGTCATCACTGTGACCTCTACACCCCCCCCTCTACACCCCCCCCCTCTACACCCCCCCCCCCTCTACACCCCCCCCTCTACACCCCCCCTCTACCCCCCCCCTCTACACCCCCCCCCCTCTACACCCCCCCCCCTCTACACCCCCCCCCTCTACACCCCCCCCTCTACCCCCCCCCTCTACACCCCCCCCTCTACACCCCCCCCCCTCTACACCCCCCCCCCCCTCTACACCCCCCCCTCTACACCCCCCCCCCTCTACCCCCCCCCTCTACAACACCCCCCCCCCTCTACACCCCCCCCCCTCTACACCCCCCCTCTACACCCCCCCCCTCTACACCCCCCCCTCTACCCCCCCCCCTCTACACCCCCCCCTCTACACCCCCCCCCCCTCTACACCCCCCCCCCTCTACACCCCCCCTCTACACCCCCCCCCTTCTCTACACCCCCCCCCCTCTACACCCCCCCCCCTCTACACCCCCCCCCTCTACACCCCCCCCTCTACACCCCCCCCCCTCTACACCCCCCCTCTACAACCCCCCCCCCCCTCTACACCCCCCCCCCTCTACAACCCCCCCCCCTCTACACCCCCCCTCTACGCCCCTCCCCCTCTACGCCCCTCCCCCTCTAAGCCCTCCCCCTCTAAGCCCCTCCCCCTCTACACCCCTCCCCCTCTACGCCCCTCCCCTCTACGGCCCCTCCCCCTCTACGCCCCTCCCCCTCTATGCCCCTCCCTCTCTACGCCCCTCCCCTCTAAGCCCCTCCCCCTCTACGCCCCTCCCCTCTGCGCCCCTCCCCCTCTACGCCCCTCCCCCTCTACGCCCCTCCCCCTCTACGCCCCTCCCTCTCTACGCCCCTCCCCCTCTACGCCCCTCCCCCTCTACGCCCCTCCCCCTCTACGCCCCTCCCCCTCTACGCCCCTCCCCCTCTACGCCCCTCCCCCTCTATGCCCCTCCTCTCTACGCCCCTCCCCCTCTATGCCCTCCCTCTCTACGCCCCTCCCCCTCTACGCCCCTCCCTCTCTACGCCCCTCCCCCTCTACGCCCCTCCCCCTCTACGCCCCTCCCCCTCTATACGCCCCTCCCCCTCTACGCCCCTCCCCCTCTATGCCCCTCCCTCTCTACGCCCCTCCCCCTCTACGCCCCTCCCCCTCTACGCCCCTCCCCTCTACGCCCCTCTACGCCCCTCCCCCTCTACGCCCCTCCCCCTCTATGCCCCTCCCTCTCTACGCCCCTCCCCCTCTACGCCCCTCCCCCTCTACGCCCCTCCCCCTCTATGCCCCTCCCTCTCTACGCCCCTCCCCCTCTATGCCCCTCCCTCTCTACGCCCTTTCAAGGGGTAAGAGTTGCACTAATGGGGGGTTCGTGGCTGCAGAGATTTTGCGATTTCAAATCGGGGTCCGTCTTTCTGAGGCAGCCAGCGGCCCCCAACCTGCTAGGCACCCGGCACCGGCTTCGTGGAAGACAATTTTGTACACAGGGGAGGGGGGGGGGTCTTCATTGGGTCTTTCTACCTCTTCAGAGAAGCTCTGCAGTGACGTGTGTGTCTGTACTCGTGTTGGCTGCTGGGGCTGGAGCTCGTGGGCTCACCACGACTGTGGCTGGGATGAGTGCCCAGTGCGGGGAAGAGGCACAGACACATTCACTCAGAGTCGTGTTGGCCATTGCCTCAGGCGAGAGGACTACTACATGCCCGTTGGCTTCTTAATAAACCTGTGCATCTTTTGATTTAAAGCTTTCGTGACTGCAGGGATTCATATTCTTGGTTCTTTCGGTAAAGTCACGTAGAAGGGAAATAATAAAAAAGATTGCATAATAAATTATTTATTTTAGAAGGGAAATAATAAAATCGAAACAATAAAATAATTAAAACAGGATGTAGCAGTTTAAATATTTATTAATATTTTATAAATATTTTATGTTTCTAATTTTTTATTTCCCTTCTAAAATAATTTTATTACGTTTTATTTTACTATTTCCCTTCTACGTGACTTTACCGAGAGAACCAGCAATACGAGTGCATCTTGTTGGGAGCGAGTGGGTGCTCAGCGTGCCCTGTTCTTTGGTTGTGATTTAGTGTTTGCTCGCTGACAGATTCGATGATTGTAGCTGAGACGCTTGGTGACATTCTAGATGTGGGCTGCTCCCTACACGACGCGCCTGGGACTGTGATGACGTGTGCGTCACTGGTCACTGGCCCTCTGAATCTGGCTAAAGCTTCTACTTCATATCAGGGGCCATTAATCATCAACCCCTTCTCAGTTCCCTACCTGATTACAGGCCAATTGAGACCTCACCGGTCACCCCGTGACCTTAGACAGCTCAACGTCCATCCTGAACAGTCCCATTACAAGCGAGAAACACACTAATTGTTTCTTGTGCCCGTCTATAAATGTCTCTATGTCTCGATGTAAAGCTGCTTTCGTGACTGCAGGGATTCATCTTCTTGGTTCTTTGGGTAAAGTCACGTAGAAGGGAAATAATAAAATAATATAAAAAAAACATTAAATAATTATTTTATTTTGTATAATAAAAGAATAATAAAAATAAAACAATAAAATAATTATTTTTATTATGTATAATAAAAGAATAATACAAATAAAACATTAAATAATTATTTTACTATGTATAATAAAAGAATAATAAAAATAAAACAATAAAATAATTATTTTATTATGTATAAAAAATAATTATAAAAATAAAACATAAAATAATTATTTTATTATGTATAATAAAAGAATAAAAATAAAACATAAAATAATTATTTTATTATGTATAAAAAATAATTATAAAAGTAAAACATCAAATAATTATTTTATGTATAATAAAAGAATAATAAAAATAAAACAATAAAATAATTCTCACTTTTATTTTTATTATTGTATTACTCCCCTTCTACGTGACTTTACCGAAAGAACCAAGGAGAAGTCTCTACGTGGTTGGGACGTGAACACGCAGTGCCCCCTACACAGGCACACGGGGGTCACCGCTGCCACTCGACCAGCGCCGAGTTGTGACGCGGCTCTGAGGCCCCGTGACGTTGTCCAACGATCGTGAAGAAGTGGGTCTCACAAATAAAGACAATACTAAATACACAGCGATGCTCCTGTTCACTTTCTTATTATTTTTAATGAACAAACTCGACTCAAAATCTGCTTGGTTCTTTCGGCAAAGTCACGTAGAATGGAAATAATAAAATAATAAAAATAAAACATAAAATAATTCTCACGAGGAGACAGACCTGGTCTCCACCTGAGGACGGCTGCTTGCGTTGTGGCCGAAACGTCGTGATAATTATTTTATGTTTTATTTTTCTTATTTTATTATTTCCCTTCTACGTGACTTTACCGAAAGAACCAAGAAGATGAATCCAAAGCAATGTTCGTAGTAAACTTTCATTATTATTTTTATGAACAAACTCGACTCAACGTGTCAAGGCAGAGACAACGATTGTTGATTTACTCTCCAACGCCGCGTTGCTGAGCCAGTGTAACCCCAAGTGGCACCTTTTCTCTACGAGACAACCAGGGGCGGTTTCTTCACTAGGGCAATTGGGCGACGCAGCACCAATGTCATTCAACCACAGAGTCACGCTAGCCGTCACTGTGCCTCTGGATATAGTCCAATCAGCGTCATGTCACGTTCTGTGGACTACCGCCTCTTTTTGGGCGATTTCACTCCGGCTGAGAATCGCCCAGAGTGTTCCCATAGACTTACATTCAAAGATGGTTTTTTTCGAACGGCAGGCGCTGCAATGCATTCTCTACGGCTTCCGGGAGGGCAAGCCCTAACGTGCTTACGTAATCATACGTAAGCACGTTTCAGTCAACAATATTATTTGTCGCCACCTAGTGGAATCTTTAATAAAAGAAACTGAGTGGATTGTAATAATAGTGAGTATAGAAACAAACAAGGAGATGTATTGTAAGAGTCACTTTATTTGTCATTAATATTAAAGAAGTGAAGTTGCCTTTACATGCTTAAGCTGTTAATTTATCCATTGCATGGGTGGACCTTATCCTTATCAATCATCCAGACATTTGCCCCCCATGAGAGATTGTGCAGGAGCCACCACTGGTGACAACCCTCACAAATCGGCCGTGTCAGGTGTCAGCGGGTTAACGACACATTCACATTGACGCCGTCCTGCAGCGACAACTCTCACGAATATCGGAATCACTTCAACTCGGCAGAGCCGCCGGCACACGCGTTGGCCTCTCTAGCGAGCTGCACCGATGGTCGTCACCGTGACACGAGGGGCGGGTCGGAGAGCACCGTCCGCCTTTGTCTCCTCAGTGGCAATGTCAACTACCGCACAGCGCTCCTCATTTGAGGCTGAGTCGACCGAAGGGAGGCCCAGGACCGGTTCAGAGTCTCTGCGCGAGCGTTTGGGTCTCTGCGCGAGCGTGTGGGTCTCTGCGCGAGCGTGTGGGTCTCTGCGCGAGCGTGTGGATCTCTGCGCGAGCGTGTGGGTCTCTGCACGAGCGTGTGGGTCTCTGCGCGAGCGTGTGGGTCTCTGCGCGAGCGTGTGGATCTCTGCGCGAGCGTGTGGGTGTCTGCGCGAGCGTGTGGATCTCTGCGTGAGCGTGTGGATCTCTGCGTGAGTCTGTGGGTCTCTGCGCGAGCGTGCGGGTCTCTGCGCGAGCGTGCGGGTCTCTGCGCGAGCGTGTGGGTCTTTGCGCGAGCGTGTGGGTCTCTGCGCGAGCGTGTGGGTCTCTGCGCGAGCGTGTGGGTCTCTGCGCGAGCGTGTGGGTCTCTGCGCAAGCGTGTGGGTCTCTGCGCGAGCGTGTGGGTCTCTGCGCGAGCGTGTGGGTCTCTGCGCGAGCGTGTGGGTCTCTGCGCGAGCGTGTGGGTCTCTGCGCGAGCGTGTGGGTCTCTGCGCGAGCGTGTGGGTCTCTGCGCGAGCGTGTGGGTCTCTGCGTGAGTCTGTGGGTCTCTGCGCGAGCGTGTGGGTCTCTGCGTGAGTCTGTGGGTCTCTGCGCGAGCGTGTGGGTCTCTGCGCGAGCGTGTGGGTCTCTGCGCGAGC